TGTTTACATCTTGTCGGCTAATTTGAATCTTTTTTTAGTTATTGTATTTTAGTCTTATTTTTTATTAGGTTTTTTTTTTTTTTCTTTTTTTAATTTGCGTGTCGTGAATTTTATTTTAGATTTCTCTTTAGCCTTTTTCGGTGAATTGCTATTTCTTGGTTTCTTTTCTACTATAATTCTCTGATGTTTTATTTGTGTTTTTTGTTTTGTTGTTTTTTTCAATCTATGTTTGTTGATTCCTTTTCCGTTTCTCTGTCTGGTGTTGAAAATGTTAGTCTTTTACTTCTTTTCCTGTTTTTTTGTTTCATATTCTATTGTTTTAGTGCTTCAATCGTATTTGTTTGCCCTTTTTCTTTGGTGGTTTCGTTTTTTGTTGTGTCGTTGTTATCGTTATTTTAGTTTTCTTTCTCTTTTGGTTGTTTGTGTTGCTTTCTCCCTTTATTTTTTATACGTCTTTTTTTACTTTGTACCTACGGTTTGTGGTTTATGACTTGTTTTTTTTGGGGATCTTTGTTTTTATTGATTGGTTGTTTGGGTTGTTTTGCTGCTCTCTTACTTTTTCTTTGGCTTTGTTCCTTTATTCTTCTATACTTCTTTGTTTTTTCTTTTTATTTGTGCTTTATTTTTTGGCTTTTACATTTGTTTGTCCCTTTGGTGTGTCTGTTTTTTTTGTTTGTTTTTTGGGTATTTTTTTTTTTCTTCGGTTTACTGTCTGTTTCTTTTGTTTTGGGGTTTTCTTGCGGTCTATTTTCTTGTTTCTATCTTTCTCTTTTCGTGTTTGTTCTTTTTTTTTTTCTTTAGACGCTCATTTGGGCGGATTGCTTTTTGTTGAGTTTTCTTTTTTGGGATTGTTCATGTCTTTTGTTTTTCTTTGTTTTTTTTGGTCTTTTTTCTTTTATTTTTTTGTTGACCTTTTTGTATACTTATTTCTTGTCCTGTTTGCTGTTTATTTCCAGTATCTCATTTTTTTTTTTTTTTATTTTCCTATCTTGGTTTTCTTTTTTCCTTTTTCTTTTATTTTGCTTTTTTTTTCAGCCTCGTTTCTTTGTCATGTTGTGCTTTTATTTACTGTTTTCTCTGTTATGCCTCTGCTCAGCCTCTGCCTCTGCCTCTGCCTCTGTCTCTGTCTCTGCCTCTGCCTCTGCCTCTGCCTCTGCCTCTGCCTCTGCCTCTGCCTCTGCCTCAGCCTCTGCCTCTGCCTCTGCCTCTGCCTCAGCCTCTGCCTCTGCCTCTGTCTCTGCCTCAGCCTCAGCCTCAGCCTCTGCCTCTGCCTCTGTCTCTGCCTCAGCCTCTGCCTCTGCCTCTGCCTCTGCCTCTGTCTCTGCCTCTGCCTCTGTCTCTGCCTCAGTCTCTGCCTCTGTCTCTGCCTCTGCCTCAGTCTCTGCCTCAGTCTCTGCCCCTGCCTCAGCCTCCGCCTCAGCAGACATTTTGACTGGAGCTTTGGTGACGGACACCGGCTGCTGAAACATTTAGCTCCGTCCACCGAGAGGAGAAGGAGAGGGCAGAGCTGCAGAGAGGAGCGGGATCAAAGTAGATATTTGAGCATAATTCACTTTCTGGCCCACGTCTGAAAAGCGTTTCAAAGGAGAGCTCGCCTTCACTGCAGCCTCAAACAGTTGCAGATCCTGGAAGCTAATTCCTGCTCCTGACAGGTGTCCGCGGTGAGGAAAGGGTCAACAACACAAAAAAATAATTTACAGGGATCAGTTTTTCAAAGCTGGGGTGTGTAACTACAAACTAAAATAATGTCACAATGTAATGTGATCTGTGTAAGTGTTTCCTGGCTCTAAAATGTAGTCAAAACAGGGTCCTGGGTCTACAGTCTGAGTCCTGGGTCTACAGCCTCAGTCCTGGGTCTACAGCCTCAGTCCTGGGTCTACAGCCTCAGTCCTGGATCTACAGCCTCAGTCCTGGATCTACAGCCTCAGTTCTGGATCTACAGCCTCAGTCCTGGATCTACAGCCTCAGTGCTGGATCTACAGCCTCAGTCCTGGATCTACAGCCTCAGTCCTGGATCTACAGCCTCAGTCCTGGGTCTACAGCCTCAGTCCTGGGTCTACAGCCTCAGTTCTGGGTCTACAGCCTCAGTCCTGGATCTACAGCCTCAGTTCTGGGTCTACAGCCTCAGTCCTGGGTCTACAGCCTCAGTCCTGGGTCTACAGCCTCAGTTCTGGATCTACAGCCTCAGTCCTGGATCTACAGCCTCAGTCCTGGGTCTACAGCCTCAGTCCTGGATCTACAGCCTCAGTCCTGGGTCTACAGCCTCAGTCCTGGGTCTACAGCCTCAGTCCTGGATCTACAGCCTCAGTCCTGGGTCTACAGCCTCAGTCCTGGGTCTACAGCCTCAGTCCTGGATCTACAGCCTCAGTCCTGGATCTACAGCCTCAGTCCTGGGTCTACAGCCTCAGTCCTGGGTCTACAGCCTCAGTCCTGGGTCTACAGCCTCAGTCCTGGATCTACAGCCTCAGTCCTGGGTCTACAGCCTCAGTCCTGGATCTACAGCCTCAGTTCTGGGTCTACAGCCTCAGTCCTGGATCTACAGCCTCAGTCCTGGGTCTACAGCCTCAGTCCTGGGTCTACAGCCTCAGTCCTGGATCTACAGCCTCAGTCCTGGGTCTACAGCCTCAGTCCTGGATCTACAGCCTCAGTCCTGGGTCTACAGCCTCAGTCCTGGATCTACAGCCTCAGTCCTGGATCTACAGCCTCAGTCCTGGGTCTACAGCCTCAGTCCTGGATCTACAGCCTCAGTCCTGGGTCTACAGCCTCAGTCCTAGATCTACAGCCTCAGTCCTGGGTCTACAGCCTCAGTCCTGGATCTACAGCCTCAGTCCTGGATCTACAGCCTCAGTCCTAGATCTACCAGCCTCAGTCCTGGGTCTACAGCCTCAGTCCTGGATCTACAGCCTCAGTTCTGGGTCTACAGCCTCAGTCCTGGATCTACAGCCTCAGTCCTGGATCTACAGCCTCAGTCCTGGGTCTACAGCCTCAGTCCTGGATCTACAGCCTCAGTCCTGGATCTACAGCCTCAGTCCTGGGTCTACAGCCTCAGTCCTGGATCTACAGCCTCAGTCCTGGGTCTACAGCCTCAGTCCTGGGTCTACAGCCTCAGTCCTAGGTCTACAGCCTCAGTCCTGGGTCTACAGCCTCAGTCCTGGATCTAGAGCCTGAGTCCTGGATCTACAGCCTCAGTCCTGGATCTACAGCCTCAGTCCTGGATCTACAGCCTCAGTCCTGGATCTACAGCCTCAGTCCTGGATCTACAGCCTCAGTCCTGGGTTTACAGCCTCAGTCCTGGATCTACAGCCTCAGTCCTGGGTCTACAGCCTCAGTCCTGTTTGTTATTATTGTCTGTCCCGTATGATTCTCTGATCACTGATGGAACGTGTCTGGGTAAATTCCTCAGACATGACTGCCGTTGTGATTTAGGGCGATACACAAATAAGTTGAGAAGTGTGTAAGCTGTCACACTGTACGCACTTCAGGAATCATGCTTACGGAGTCGAACCAGTCCGTTTCATTCGTCAGCTGTCATAATGCTGAAACTTTTCCCCTCTTTTCAAAGAGGACCCTGGCAGCTTCCTCCGCTCGCTGTGCTCTTGCGAGATGAAGTTGCTGATGAAAAGGTGGCGGTGACAGTTTGTTGTGATGCTGTTTTTTGAGGGATTGATCTCACGGCAGAGGTTAAGACGGAGGCTCTCGCGGGAGGCCCTGGTCCCAGGGGAGATACCAATATGACACACAAGCTGATGGAGTGACGGAGGAGGAGAGGTGTAATTACAAACTCTGAAGATATAGAGTTGGATGGGAGCCAGGAAAGACAATAGGGTTCATGTATCGACGTCTCTACAGCAGCAGCAGATGGCATTTATTTGCTGGAAAAAGATTTCTTTAACGCAGAGTACTTAAGATAATCCTCTATTGTCGACGCTATAGGAAGGAATGCAGCACGTTATGGACACGTTTATGGAAATTTAGCTTTTGAGGTTTTCAGATTCAGTTTATTTGCCGTTTCCAGTCAAAAACAACGTTGGAATATTCATGAAAAAAAATACACAATCAATAACAAATAAAGGCAGAATAACACATAAGAAATGATATATATATATATATATATATATATATATATATATATAAACACACTCAAACATGTTTTAAAACTTTGTTCCCCGTAAAACATTCAAATTCAACATTTCTAACTAAATGTTTTTTTATTGTAATGATTGCAGTGTTTTTGTTGACATTTTACACCTTGCCTAAATATATAGATAGATACTTTATTGATCCCAGAGGAGAGCAGAAAACAATAATAATAAAATGTACCAGCCTCAGGTCACAGCAGCAGGTGGAGCTTGGTTTGGACCATTTTCTCTGCTCTGGTCCAAAGTAAAATGATAAATGCTTTGTTAGCATTTTAAAAAAGTTATCATTCCTCCACTGAATTTTCACCTGATCCACTTGGTTCGGACCATGAATCCTCTCTGCTCTGGTCTGGACCAGTGTAAAACCATGAATCCTCTCTGCTCTGGTCTGGACCAGTGTAAAACCATGAATCCTCTCTGCTCTGGTCTGGACCAGTGTAAAACCATGAATCCTCTCTGCTCTGGTCTGGACCAGTGTAAAACCATGAGTCCTCTCTGCTCTGGTCTGGACCAGTGTAAAACCATGAATCCTCTCTGCTCTGGTCTGGACCAGTGTAAAACCATGAATCCTCTCTGCTCTGGTCTGGACCAGTGTAAAACCATGAATCCTCTCTGCTCTGGTCTGGACCAGTGTAAAACCATGAATCCTCTCTGCTCTGGTCTGGACCAGTGTAAAACCATGAATCCTCTCTGCTCTGGTCTGGACCAGTGTAAAACCATGAATCCTCTCTGCTCTGGTCTGGACCAGTGTAAAACCATGAATCCTCTCTGCTCTGGTCTAGACCAGTGTAAAACCATGAATCCTCTCTGCTCTGGTCTGGACCAGTGTAAAACCATGAATCCTCTCTGCTCTGGTCTGGACCAGTGTAAAACCATGAATCCTCTCTGCTCTGGTCTGGACCAGTGTAAAACCATGAATCCTCTCTGCTCTGGTCTGGACCAGTGTAAAACCATAAATCCTCTCTGCTCTGGTCTGGACCAGTGTAAAACCATGAATCCTCTCTGCTCTGGTCTGGACCAGTGTAAAACCATAAATCCTCTCTGCTCTGGTCTGGACCAGTGTAAAACCATGAATCCTCTCTGCTCTGGTCTGGACCAGTGTAATATCGCAGTCAAAATATATTCAAATCAATCTAATGTTTTTTCCCAAATGCATACTTTTTTTGTGTTTTGTTTTTTACAATGCATGTCCTGCTCACACTTGCATAGTGTTTGTGATTGCGCGTGTGGTCTGTCCTTGGAATCGGACTACAGACCCTGGACTGTTGCAATGTGTGAGAATCACCCTGAGAATAATGTATCTATGTTTATTCATGGCCCCGCTTCACCGCTCACATGACTTTCTCTATTATCTGCACCGGGTTCTGCCTCAGAGGACCAGCTTTTCATTCATGAAAAATATGTACTTTTCTACATTGCAAATGAATAAATATACCATGTGCTTGTACAAAAAATTAAAGCTGGGGTACCTAACTTTCAAACCCCAAAAAAGTACAAATCTGCCGACAAGTACAACCATCATATTTATCCTAGAAAGTCAGCCAGAGCTACCCTGGTCTTACCATGTGTAAACTCTGGTCCATGATCATTTCCTACATGTACGTCTGGTCTTACCATGTGTAAACTCTGGTCCATGATCATTTCCTACATGTACGTCTGGTCTTACCATGTGTAAACTCTGGTCCATGATCATTTCCTACATGTACGTCTGGTCTTACCATGTGTAAACTCTGGTCCATGGTCATCTCCTACATGTACGTCTGGTCTTACCATGTGTAAACTCTGGTCCATGGTCATCTCCTACATGTACGTCTGGTCTTACCATGTGTAAACTCTGGTCCATGGTCATTTCCTACATGTACGGCTGGTCTTACCATGTATAAACTCTGGTCCATGGTCATCTCCTACATGTACGTCTGGTCTTACCATGTGTAAACTCTGGTCCATGATCATTTCCTACATGTACGTCTGGTCTTACCATGTGTAAACTCTGGTCCATGATCATTTCCTACATGTACGTCTGGTCTTACCATGTGTAAACTCTGGTCCATGATCATTTCCTACATGTACGTCTGGTCTTACCATGTGTAAACTCTGGTCCATGATCATCTCCTACATGTACGTCTGGTCTTACCATGTGTAAACTCTGGTCCATGATCATTTCCTACATGTACGTCTGGTCTTACCATGTGTAAACTCTGGTCCATGATCATCTCCTACATGTACGTCTGGTCTTACCATGTGTAAACTCTGGTCCATGGTCATTTCCTACATGTACGTCTGGTCTTACCATGTGTAAACTCTGGTCCATGGTCATTTCCTACATGTACGTCTGGTCTTACCATGTGTAAACTCTGGTCCATGATCATCTCCTACATGTACGTCTGGTCTTACCATGTGTAAACTCTGGTCCATGATCATCTCCTACATGTACGTCTGGTCTTACCATGTGTAAACTCTGGTCCATGATCATCTCCTACATGTACGTCTGGTCTTACCATGTGTAAACTCTGGTCCATGGTCATTTCCTACATGTTTTTTGCTACACTTCTTGGAATTACAGTAATTTTTTGTTTTCTTTCATCAGATGCAGGACCAGACCTGGATCAAGGACTTGAATGATTTTGTCTTTTTTTCTTCTTCAATAATTGTTTTTATTTATCAAACCTGTACTTCTTTGCATTTGGATTAGATGAATGGTCCCTTGAATGCATTTGTGTGTTGCCTCTGTCACATTCTGGAATCCCTTTTTCACAGCCTGAAAAGTGAAAGAGAGGGGACCACCCTCCCTCAGCCAATCAGCTCTCACAAGGCTCTAAATCTTAATTTTTTTTCGTCAGTTAAAAACAGCCCGTTGTGGTCTTACCCTAAACCTTACTTTTACAAGACTCTTTCTGTTTGCTCAAAAAGCGTGGGTTATTTCTGATACATACTGTAAAAGCTGAAGTGCCGCAGCTTTAAAGTTGAAATATCAATTATAAAACTAAGTCAAAGCGCTGTCTCTGTACTGTGTGGATGGAAGTGGAATGAAAAGAGTCTCGGCTTCAATCCAAACACAAAGCCAGCGTGTGGAGAAAACGTGCTCGAGCTGCCGTGTGGTGAGCCGAGGTCAACGGTCGCGGGTGTGAAATAAGCGTTAGATGAAAGCCCCTCCCCCCTCAGCCTCTTCCTCCTCTTGACCTTGTCCGCTCTGTTATGCACCGACCCCCTGACGGCAGCGGCAGAATCCTCTCTGCTTTTTTAATGCTGACTGTAAACAAGACGATAAGAAGCTATACGAGCCATATGCCCCGCTACATCCTGCAGGAGAAACCACCGACTTATATGTACACAGGCAAAATGTTCTGGATTTACAGCTTGGGTTCTAGATTCCGTACCTAGGAATGGGTATTGATATACGGCAAACTCTTTCCTTTCAGATTGACGCTTAAAGAATAACTACTATGCAATATTGTTGGCCATTTCAAATTATAATAGCACTTTTTCCTTTTCAATTATTATCTTCAATAGAAAATATATGGTTTAACAAAGTTATATGGGTAAAAGTCTGGTTTTTTTTTTCCTTATTTGAAAATTACAGGCAAACACAGCGATAGTGAAGACTGTCATTACCAAAACTATTTAATTGGCACTGCTTGTTTTTAAAAGTGCTCTGAGCGTGATGTCATAGTGGTACAGGACAGTGTGCCCAGAGCAGTGGGGGCGGCTCCTGACTCAAAAATGTCAAAAATGAGGTGAGCGGACATGCTGCAATACCACCCCAGGCCAGTGGGGGTGGACTCGGAATGAGAAGGATTCAATGCTAACGTACGTATCTTCTTACCTCTGGAAAACGTCTTTACAGGATGGTCCAAAAGTTGTCTCTTGGCCCAAAGCTCCGTTCCACATGTGTGTCAATGCTGAGTGTTCTGGACCAGTCTAGTTTAGTCGCTGTGGACTTTAGAAGTCTCTCGTTTAAATGAATGGAGCTCGTGCAGCTGACGCATGCGCAGATGCGTTTTTTCACATTTTCCAGCCCCCGCGGCCATTTTGAAACTGCCCATAAACCGCGGAAGTTGTGGCACATTAGTTTGAACTACATCCGTCAACATTTACAGTCTATGGTCCAGAGGTGTCCAAATCGGTCCAGAAAGGGCTGTGGCTGCAGGCTTTCTATCAGACCCAGGGGGAGCAGAGCAGACTCCGCCCATTTCCTTATGTCAGTTCAGTCTCAACCTGAAGATTTCACAAAAACTCAATCCCATGAACCGTTGGATAATCCGTGTACCCTTCGATCATTAGTTATTCCGTTTCAAAATAAAATCAGAAAAACAAATTACGTGGTTGTTTTATTGTATTTCCATTTTCTAAATTAAATTGGAAAATCAAAACATTCTAAATAAAATATTCACCCATTTCTTTGCTATGCAGTGGAAACAAACACTACTAAAACAACTTCCATTATTTTGTTTGATATGCTCCTGGAAATGAGATGAGTGGTGAGAGACGGAAACAACTGCAAGCTGCACTCAACTCAACTCAACTACACGACAACAACTCGCGCTGTTGTTGAGCTCGCCCCCAGGCCCGAGCTCCAGGCCCGAGCTCCAGGCCCGAGCTCCAGGCCCGAGCTCCAGGCCCGAGCTCCAGGCCCGAGCTCCAGGCCCGAGCTCCAGGCCCGAGCTCCAGGCCCGAGCTCCAGGCCCGAGCTCCAGGCCCGAGCTCCAGGCCCGAGCTCCAGGGGCAAAATGCTTACAGCACCTGGTATTCCCAGGCGGTCTCCCATCAAAGTACTAACCAGGCCCGACCTTGCCTAGCTTCCGAGATCAGACGAGATCGGGCATTCTCGAGGTGGTATGCCCGTAAGCACGGGGGTATGGAGCAGCGTGCGTCCTGACCCTGCTGCTGCGGTCCTCTCCTCCCCCAGAATGAGCGCTCTTGGGCGGATGGCAGGCGCGCGGTCACCCCGGTGGTTTCCAAGGGCCCCGGGACCAGGGGAGTCCCTGGGTCCCACCCCCGTGTCTCTACCCTCCCTGGCTCGGCTTTGAGGAGCCCGGAAAGCCGGGCTTCCTTCCCCCGGGAATAAGCGCTCAGGCCCGGGTCTGAGTGGGAGCAAAGCCCTCCCCGGTCATAGCCCAGAACCGGAGGAGTGCGTGGGTGAAAACCCCGTGTCTCTAGCACCCCTGGTTCGTTTTTGACAAGCCCTGGAAGCCGAGCTTCTCCTCCCCCAAAATGAGCGCTCTTGGGCGGATGGCAGACGCGCGGTCCCCCGGTGGTTTCCAAGGGCCATAACTTTCTGGTCCTTTATCCCCCGCGCGTCAAATTCACACCGCGGGTGCCCCGGGACCAGGGGTCTGTAGCCCCCCTTCCGTGAGGTCTCTTCTCTCTTCCGGTGTCGCAAATAATAATATAACGAAATAATAGTAATGCCATAATTCTTTTGAGAATTTTAAACAACTAGAGCCAAAACAAACACATTGATATTGAAGCATAAAGGATTTATTTTTTTATTCAAGTTTAGAAAAGGAAAAGAACAATAAACTAATGGAAATTTTGATTTTCTGATTTTATTTGGAAACGGAATAACTAATGATCGAAGGGTACACGGATTTTGGATGTTGTTGAAGGTCAAGTGTCCTGGATCACCTTTGACTCTCCTGCATCAGCGAAGAAAAACTCTAATAAATAAACACAGTGGGACAAAGAAACCTCGGGGATTCCCACAATAACTATATCACACACACACAAACACACACACACACATAACCCTTTCTTTGTAATTACAATTCAGCGTTGCGTGCCTTCTGTATGACCGTGATAGAAACAGCTGTACCTGTCATCTCCGTCGTACATTATCTGCCGTTGAAAGTCCGCGCATCGTCGCAGCATTTGTTTTCACACATTTAAACGAGGAAAACAAAATTAGAAACACAGCCAGGGGATATTTACTACGCTTTAGAGTGAGGAGCGAGAGAGAGCGAACTCAAGAGGTGGCGGCAGGTGTCGGTTTTGTGTCTTTTGTAATAAACAGCTGCAATAGACACGTTAATAAAAAGCAGAGTTAATTTCTCTGGGTAATTGAGGAAGCAGCAGCAGCAGCAGCAGTAACAGCAGCAGTAACAACAGCAGTAGGCAGACACTACTTTATTTAAAATTGTCTCCTCTCGAACTCAAGTGGCGTGTCTAAACTTGAAAAATGCATTTGTTCTCTTTGAGTGAGGAGCCGCACTTGACGGAGCCCCCCTGACAGAACAGAAGGTGTTGTGTTCACGTTTCCTGATTGGTATTAGCACAAAGTGATGCAATAGTTAAGAAAAAAAGTGGTGATTTAATTCAATATTTCCAAACAAACCATTAAAGAGATACAACACAATTTGACAAAAGAAATCAAGATATCAGACCATTGAAGCTAAGCGTGGCAGGGCTTGGTTAGTGCTGTGATGGGAGACCTCTGGGAACTCCATGAGGACTAGCAAGATGGCGCCGTGTCAGGGCGCCGCAGTGAACGCTCTGGTGCGCACAATCTGTGTTTTGTTGTTTTTCGTCTGGGATTCACTTGCCACAGTGAAATATGATCGGCAAACACTTCTGTACATTCGGGACCACGCGTGTGACGGGTCACTCGTTTTACCTGAACTGAGGTGCATTAACTTCCTCGAGTGTCCCACTCGAGAGGCTGGTGGAGCACGGCAGGCAGGCCGCGGCGGTGGCCGCCAACAGAGCGAGGGGACTGGGCGTCTCCGGCGTTCTCTCCGCGGTGTGGAGCTGGGCACCTGGAGTCGGCGAAGGAGGCGCAGACACCGGGGAAGGCGAGGCGGTCTGCTCGTTCGTAGCCGCTCCTCCAGGACCGCTCTGCCCTCCATCTACCTGGCCAACGTCCAGTCTCTGCCCAACAAGACGGACGAGCTCCTGTGTCGGGTCCAGAGCCAGCGCGAGGCCCGGGACTGCGCTGTGTTCTGCCTCAGCGAGACGTGGCTCCACTCGAACGTCCCGGACTCTGCTGTTCAGCCCCCGGGATTCACCGCTCACCGCTCGGACAGAGTGAAGGAGACCACGGGGAAATCCAGAGGCGGAGGTGTGTGCTTTTTAATTAATCCGTGCTGGTGCACGGACACTCGAGTCGTGAACCAAACATGTACTGCCAATCTGGAATGCCTGGTCTTGAGCTGCCGCCCTTTTTATCTTCCCCGTGAGTTTTCAGTGATATTTGTATGTGCTGTTTACATTCACCCACGTGCGGATTACAAAGTAGCCCTACAGGATCTGAGCCAGATCCTTCACAAACATGAGTCTGCTCATCCTAACGCAGTCAGCATTGTTGCTGGGGATTTCAATAAATGTAATTTAAAGACTGTACTCCCGAACTTTTACCAACATGTGACTCGAGCTACAAGAGGAGCACATGTTCTGGATCACTGCTACAGTAACGTGAAGGGAGCTTACAGGTCCAGTCTCAGACCTCCTTTTGGAAAGTCTGACCACTCCTCTGTTCTCCTTCTTCCTTCGTATACTCAGAGGAGCAGGGAACATAAACCAACCTCTCGCACTGTACAGTGTTGGTCTGAGGAGGCTAGCATGAAGCTACAAGGTTGTTTTGATGCTACGGACTGGTCTGTGTTTCAGTCAGAGGACGTCAATGAATTCTGTGACGTTGTGTCTGGATACATACGCTTCTGTATTGACTGCTGTGTCCCACAGAAGGTCATTAAAGAACATTTTAGTCAAAACCCTTGGATGAACGCGGAAGTGAAACTGAAACTTCATGAGCGTGCGTTGGCGTTTCAATCAAATGATACAGTTGCTTATAAACTATCCTGTTACTCATTGAAACGTTCTATTAAATCTGCAAAGCGCAGTTACGGGGACAAGTTAAAGAGTTATTTTGAGGAAGATGACCCTCGGCGCATGTGGAACGGTATTAAAGCCATCACGTCCTGGAAACCTAGTGCTGGGAAAATTGCATCTGTCGACCAAGCTCTGCCAAACGAGCTGCACACGTTCTACTGCCGCTTTGAATCAGCTGATGCCTGTCCTACTGTATTCCCTGAGTGTTTCAATCAAGGTACCTTCACCGTGACTCAGGAGGAAGTCAGGCGTGTCTTGTCCAGGACCACAGTCCGGAAAGCCCCAGGCCCGGACGGCATCCCTCCTCGTGTCCTGAAACTGTGCTCTGAGCAACTTGCCCCTGTGCTAACAGACATTTTAAACCTGTCGCTAAGGAACTGTACTGTGCCGAACTGCTTTAAAGAGTCGACCATCATTCCAGTTCCTAAGAAAACTCCTGTGACATGCCTGAATGACTATCGTCCTGTGGCCCTCACTTCTGTCCTAATGAAGACTTTTGAGCGGCTTGTGCTGGACTTCATTAAGAGCCAGAACCCTGTGAGTGTTGACCCGCTCCAGTTTGCTATACAGACAGAACAGGAGTGTGGAGGATGCATCTCCTTTGCTCTGAACTCTGTCTACAGTCACTTGGACACTAGTAAATCTGTGGCCAGAATGCTTTTCATCAATTATAGCTCTGCTTTTAACTGCCTTGTCCAAAGGTAAACTGATTGAAAAGCTCATGTCTCTGGGTTTAAGTGTTGCCATGTGTAAATGGATTTTTATCTTTTTAACTGACAGATCTCAGAGTGAAAATCAATGACTGTTTTTCTGATGTTGTTTCTGTGAGCACTGGTTCTCCTCAGGGATGTATTTTGAGTCCTTTGCTTTTTACTTTGTACACTCACGATTGTGTGTCCTCCTCTGACTCAAACTTGATCATCAAATATGCTGATGACACCACCATCATCGGTCTCATCAGTGACACTGATGAATCCTCTTATAGAGCAGAGATACAAAATGTGGTTCAGTGGAGTCAAACTAAAAACCTCCAGTTGAACGCATCCAAAACATGTGAACTGGTCACGACTTCAGTCGCAATAGTTCTCATTTGTCTGTCGTAATCGACAACTCCCAGGTGCAGATCGTAGAGGAGCAAGTTTCTGGGTTTAACTCTGTCTAACCTGAAATGGGTTAAAAACACTGACCGAGTCGTTAAGAAAGCTCGTCAGCGTCTCTACTTTCTGCGTAAACTTAGAGAATTTACCACTAACTCTAAGATTGTGCTTAACTTTTATGGCTGCACCATTGAGAGTTTACTTGTTGGTTCTGTGTCTGTGTGGTTTGGAAACATCACAGGTAAAGAAAAGAGAGCTTTAAACAAGGTGCTCCGCTCTGCAAAGAGGACCGTGGGCTGTGAGCTTCCTGTTCTGGAGGTTCTTTATAAATCCAGACTTTTAAACAAAGCTCTTAGGATTGTCAATGACTCTTCTGGCCACCCTGGGAAAGCCATGTTCCAGCTTCTTCCCTCTGGCAGAAGATATCGCTCTCTGAGATGCAGGACATCTCGTTACGCTAACAGTTTTTATCCACAGGCTGTTATCAGTGTGAACAGAGCACTTTAATGATTTGCACTTGTTTTGAAACTGTTTTAGTCGATCGATTTCACAGTGACATTTGTTTACTGTTTTATTTGTTTTATTTCTGTCTTTTAATGTTGTTTTATGTCTGTATTTGTCTGTGCACACTGGAGACTTTTGCTAATGTATTCCTATGTGGTTTTTTTACTGCAAATAAAACTGAATCTGAATCTGTACCACAGTGGGGCGGCTGCAAAGTGCTAAATTGTTTATACGTCCATTGATAATTAACATCTCCCCCATTGCCTAGAATGAGTCTGGTGTGTGTGTGAATGGTTGGTGGTGGTGGGAGGGTCGATGGCACAGACTGGTTGCCTCGCTTCTGTCAGTGTGCCCCAGGGCAGCTGTGGCTACAGTAGTAGTTTATCACCACTGTGTATGGAGTGAATGAATAATGACATGTGAAGGGTCTTTGAGTGTCTGATAAAAACATTAACAAACATAATGGTGACTGACAACTGTGAGGGAAAGAGCTACTGTTTTATTGTTAGCTATAAAAGTTATTTGTACGTCACACATTGTACACAAGGCTTCTGCAAGTGCATTTCAAAACACTACTTTGAGCAAATAAAATTGTGTAGACAGAAAACAGTTTTTAATTCAGACTTGAACTCAACATAATCAGAGTCTCACATTTTCAGGAAGACTAGTCATAGATTTTAGCAACAAAAATCTGATTTGTAGATAAGATGTAAACACTTATCACGCAATGCCTTTCAGAATGTAAAAAGTGGACTCAATATATTATGTCCACAAAAAGGAAAAGCAAAAGGTAACAAAAGGCAATTGGTTGAAATAGTCTGGATTATTTATGTTGTTATTCACGTCTCATGTTGAAAACCAGGTTATTACAGTAATTTCTCAGTGCTTCGTGTGATCATTTTTCCAATCAGCTCCTCAAAGTGCCAGTCAGCTCCTCAAAGTGCCAATCAGCTCCTCAAAGTGCCAATCAGCTCCTCAAAGTGCCAGTCAGCTCCTCAAAGTGCCAATCAGCTCCTCAAAGTGCCAATCAGCTCCTCAAAGTGCCAGTCAGCTCCTCAAAGTGCCAATCAGCTCCTCAAAGTGCCAATCAGCTCCTCAAAGTGCCAATCAGCTCCTCAAAGTGCCAATCAGCTCCTCAAAGTGCCAGTCAGCTCCTCAAAGTGCCACGCTGTTCTCCATCTTCTGTGGGTCCAAATACACGTACGGCAGCTGCAGCTTTTTGCTTCTTTCCTCGATAAAGTTGTGCAGTTCTTCAAGATCCGTCTGGAATTCCTTGATCCGTCTCTTTGGAATTTCTTCGCTGAAGTATTCCTCAGGATAATGGCCCAGGGCGACCTAAAGGACAAGACACCAATTATTGTAAAATAAGAATGAGTCATGTTGCTTCCAAATGGCACGTACGAAGTCTGTGGACTGTTTGCTGAGCAGGTACAGGACGGCCATCACGTGGACGGTGGTGCCGACGTCAGGGAGCGTCTCCAGGAGCGTGGCTTCTGTGGCGAAGCCTTTCTTTGAAGGAGGAGGATGTTTGAGAGAACCAGGAGAGTTGGGCATCCAGCTGCCAAACTCAAACTGTAAGTGAACAAGCAGAGGGAAGCCAGGTTTATTTAAATATTCATTTACCCTAATCTATTGTAGTATTTGTTACTGGAAGGAGAAACATACAAAGAAAGAAGAAGAGAACATGCAAACTCCACCCACGCATTGCTATTTCTTATTGTGGGTCCACCCCCACTGGCCCGGGGTGGTATTGCAGCATGTCAGCGCACGTCATTTGGAACATGTTTGAGCCGGGACCATGGACGTCGGAACTATTTTCTGAGAGGGGGGGCGGGTTTTTGTTGGGAGAGTCGAGGGAGAGACTCATACTTGGATTACACTGGATAATAACATACCATCTTAATTGTTAAGAAAAACAAAATAAACAATATATATCAAGCAAGTCACTTATCAAACTGAACTTTTTTTTTTTTTCAATACGCATTCATGCGTCAGTCTCTCCGGTGGCTTCATTGTGTTGTGTAGCCCAGTGACGTGCGGTCAGATGAGGCAGGCAAGGCCCTCACCTAAGATCATAGAAAGAAAAGTAATAAAATGGATACAATAATGTTTGGTCACTTTATCAAGTGATTTGTGCTGTGCCTTATTTCATTTATTTATACCTTGAAATTGCAGATTTGACAGAGCGGCGCTGTGAGGCGAGCCTCTCTTGGGAGACGTAAAAAGCAACAGCTCACAGGGAGAGTCCTGTGAGGTGCTATCAAACTGTTTTCTCTGTTTATCACAGTTTAAAAAGTTCAAAAATATTTAATTTACAATCAACATGTTTACATTTAAGAGGATGGCTCATAAATTGTGTTTTTGAAGCAAATATGGGTCTTAATCGCGCTCAACCACAGCTTGTAAGTGAGGAAAGCCTCAAGGGGGCGCTTGTGAGCCCAAACTTTGGCTGCATCTAATTCCATCAGAAAGCTCCTTTCTTGTTCTTCTTCTGCTAAGGGCAGCTACAGGTTTGGCTAACATACCTATAATACATTTTAAGATAATTTAAAATGCACTTAGAGTAATGTTTTGCTTCCAATGATGATATGAATCATAAGAAAAGGAGGTGAAGGGTAAGGTTGAATTTAGAAATTGGATTTACCCGGGAGTCGGCTGCAGCAAAACTCGGAGTTTACGGAGGAGACACCCGTTTTTTTTACTTTTTAAAACTCATTAAACTTATTTCCAAATGGAGGATTACATGTCTGTGCTCAAACTATTATCTGGACTTAAACATGAAACTGGTCCTAACTGAAGTGGTCTGTGCTGTTCATTAATACCTAAGGTAAGGCCCATAACACACTTTGTACTTTTTACAAACGTTTGCGTTTTGTATGAGACAACAATGCAGACATTAAATCATATTCTGCTGTAGCCAAACAAATTGTGTATAAGCCGCTCCTGTTCCTGTAGGTCCTGTTGGTTTATATGATGTATAATCATATGAACACATGATTGATCCCCCACCGCACGTCACTGGTGTAGCCAGGTCTCTAATCTGCGCAAGGCTGAGAAAGAGCGCTCAGAGGCTGCGACAGATATGATCCAGACAGAGCTTCATAAGCTTCTCCGACAGCATGGAGCGGGTTTTGGGCTGCAAGGAACGCAGGATAGTGATAACTTGTCGCTCCCGGCACACGCGGAGGGGGTGCGGCCGCACCCCCCGCACCCCTAGTTCCGACGTCTATGCTCGAGGGACAGGTCCATTTTTTGTTCTCTTTGGTTTTTTGCGTTTTATTTGTGTTTAAAGACCTAAGTTTCTCCTTGCATTAAAAAGGCTTGATGGTTGTGGATATTTAGACTGCGTGATTTGATGAAAAATTACTGGCAATGTTATACATATTAAATTTTCAGTAAATTATAAAGAGAAGAAAAAGAAGAGGAGGGCAAAATTCAAGAGGAGGAATAGCTGTTGTTCTCGGGGAAGGCTTCGCGCTGTGTGATATGATCATGCAGCTTATTGGACAAAAATTGTTCAGCCAATAAACGGAAACTTATATTTGAAGCAACGTAGGAACGTGATGACGCTCAGGGGGTTATATTTTCTAAAAAAAGATTAGAACGCAACAATTAGTATAATGGGTGTATAAAAATAAAAAATATTGGAAATAATGAGTTTAAACAAAAAAAGTCTAATGACTTGAGAGGGACGAAGAAAATTGGGGAAGGCCAAGAATAAAAACTGGTAGGCAACCGGCCTTACCAGGCCTATTCCTGGCCGCGGCTGGCCGCATTTTGGTCAGTGCTCTAGTGTGGCAATCAATGGAATTTCATCACAATACTCATCAAACAAGATCCATTCAGTTTTATCATTGGAGGAAATGTTATTAAATTAGCAATTGGCACCTTGACAAACACTGGATATAGAAAACTTTTCCTAAACAATTGTAGGCTAATTTACTGTAGGCTAACGTGGGACATCCATGGCCGGGATATCACATGCCAGTTGCTCTCCTTCAAGGGCTATGACCTGGTCGTTGCTTTGTCCAGGTGGTCTATATTATTTATTGCAGACCTGGGTTGTGAGTTTGTTTAGCCAAAAAAACTCTATTGGCGGAGATCAGTGCGTCCTTGCCTCATCGGCTTGGCCTCACAGCGAAATGTTATCTTTTCATGGACGCCCACACTAACTCAATGGGGTTCAGTTCCGGCGACCTTAAACAAAAAACACATGGACATGTCAGCCATGTTAGCCTTTTTTCGATACAGCAGGAATTCCATCCAGATATATATATATATATATATAAAATAACTATCGGTACTCCTCTGCCGGTGTCGGTACCCAGTTGATCCCCTCACTTTCAATGCAGGCTTTGACACTTTTTGCTGTGTGTTTTGGATCGTTGTCTTAAAAAATCAAACAGGACAAAATTAGGAGGAAACTTAATCATTAAAAAACATTAGTAGCCTAATCATCACGACGTTGCTTTGGTCATAATCATCCTGAAGATTTGGAATACTGTTTGTTAGCATACTTGGAAGAATCTATGTGTAGACATACGAAAAAATGTCCCTTAAGTAGGGACCAGCAGCTTTTTTGATGATTTCTCCGGTAGAAGTGTTGATCCTTATACTGCGGGTTTAATTCAATATGTTAGCATATTGTTAACAATTTATTTGCATAGCCTACTTTGGCATGCATTGCGTTCAAAACTTTCATCACCTCACCGTCAATAGGACAAACGGCCTGGTCCCATCGAGAAATTCCACCCCAACATGCATTTTGCCGGTGACTTCATCTCTTGGTTTTGCAATTGCCCTGAAGTTGGTCTTTCTCCTGACTTCAGGCAAAACGGTCAGTGCCACAGTGGGACTCGTCAGTGAAGAGAAAATCATCTAACTTTTCACCAGCAGGCCTTCCCATTCTTGAGCTTGGATCACACGCAATCTTTGTTTTTCCTCTGGTCAATGGAAACGAATCTGTAAGCAGAATTTATCAAAATGTTACTATAAGAATTGACATGTTGAGTGCCCCGGTTATCACGATAAGTAATTAACAAAGAGACGCGGGTGACCTGGGCTTCCCAAAGTTCCAGCCAAGAGTCCGACTGACTTTCTCACCGATGTAACCGATGGTTATGTTGTGCCGGCTTTGGAGAAGCTCTTTTATTTTCTTGCTGGTAGTTCATCGTCTGTTCTCAGGATGGGAGTCTAGTATTTCATTCACCTGACGAAAGAGACCATTGTTTCAGTTACCAAAGTTTGGTAAAGCCTGTTGTTATTTTTTTCACATGTGAACTTACAAAACTTGGGATATATATAAATAATAAAAAGTACATTTTCTTTGTCAATTTCTGTTGCTTGCGTTCCTTCTTCTTCTTCCACAACAGCAAATCGGCAATGACGCTGGATAGTTCGCATAAGGGAAGCTGGTTATGCAGTTGTGGCCAAGTTGTTTGGTGTAGCGCTAGTCGTCCATCCTTTCTTTACGCAGACTCTTGATGAGCTCAATGACTTGTTGCGTTGATCACAGCCATCGTGACATTAGTGCTAAATTACATTACCATCGGTCGAACTATTTTATCTTTGATTTTTACACACAACCTCCCTCCCCCCCCCCTTTACCGCCACTCCTGTGTTTTTTTCCCGGCCCCGTCCCAATCACGAGATAAGATGTTTTGACATATGTGAGGAAGACTGGATTTTCGACATTCCTGTGGGTCAAAATCTACACTGTAAGAAATGATTCTGTGGTCAAGTAGATTGGAATTAATGTATCAGGTAAATATATTCAATTGTAATTGTGTTTTTGATTTTCAAGCAAACATTTTAATTAATTACATATAAAAGGTGTTCTGAATAAAATCCACCCATCCTTTTTAAAATACAATTAACAATATGTTTATCTTAATTCCAAAACAGACAGAATATTGATGTGAATTCAAATTAATATAATCAGACAAATTTGAATGGGAAAGCACTTCCAGGTCAAAGTGCACATTATATTTTTGTAACTGACGCTGCAGGTATCATCGCGCCACAAGACATGAAGCGAGTTGCAGACTTTTGAGTGATCTGGACTACTAAGGTAGAAAACGTTTCTTATGATGGGCTAGTGAGAAGAAAGATGTAGTGGTAAATGACAATGAGGCGAGTATAATAGAACAAGAGACTCAGTTTAGCACACAGAAAGTTGGCTTCTGTTGGATAAGGCTATTTGATGTATTAGCGTGATGTTGCTGCCCAAAATATGAAAAAAGGCATTGCACATTTTTAAAGAATTTATGGTTCGAAGACAAACAATTTATTTTGAAGGAGCATTTCCGCTATGGTGTTCCTACGTACAGCGTTCCCTGCATGCCTCGCGTGTTGATATCGCCAGTATGGCACAAGCGTGTGTCAGTTTGGGGAAAAACAGACCACCCGACACTGTAAAGTTTGAGTATTGTGAAAGAAGAAAAGTGAACGTGGCTCGTCTGTTCAGTACGAAGTCGTTTATGTGTGGCTTTTTAGCGCGGGTTAGCGGCAGTTGCTCGGCGGGGGTTCTGAGTAGATTAAGCAGTTTTGAATGTCTAACACGCGTGACTTTCCGCGCGTACCTGTCATCGCTGCAGAGGGGAAAACAGGGGCAGTGGCAGAGCGCGGGGATGGGTCGACTACCATGTCGCTCTGTGCAGGGTAGCGGGGATGAAAGGATCGATGCAACGAACGCTTCCCTGAGAGCGGAGAGAGACTTATTAAAAATTATTATTTGAGCGCGTGTGATTAGGTGCAGCAATACAGCGGCCTGTTTAGAAGACCGTTAGGTTATCGGTCCAGGTGGAGCGGCACACCCCTCATGGACAATGAAAGAACAATTTGAGACCAAGGCCCATGGGAAATAAAATGTAATAAAAATAGATGGTAAAAAAAGCTATGAAAACAATAAAGTAATGTGTGTCTAATATTTTTGTTCTGACAGTTTTTTTATAATAAGGGACATGGACAATATCATGTTGAAGGACACGGAGACTTGGAGGAACTCCAATCAGCAGCTCTTAATGACTATCACTGTGACCTCAAAGCTGTTCGCTTCTGCAACGACAGGCCCAAGAACGTTGGAATTGTCATAGAGGGTGTGGAAGTCATCACAGGACTTGGAGATATTGCAATGGCTTGCTCTGTCCTCCTTGGCTTGACCTATGTGTTGAACTCAGTTATCCCACACAGCTGAAGTACACATTTGAGGTATTCCAAAAACTTTTTATTGGAACTGGATGATTTCAAAGTGTCAAACAAAGTCCAGTCCTAAGTGCCCAAACTTCTGGCTTGAAATGAGACTGTAGTTGCAACATAAACTTTTGTTCTACACATGTTCCACATTCTACAGAGCTAGAGAAATGCATATTTGAAGTGCTAGTTGTGAGTTTGCACTGATTGGATTTGTCCCACAAAGTTCAATTAACATTTCAAATGTTATTTCAAAGACATTTATTTATTTTTATTTTTTATTTCTACCGTGTAAAAATGGCACTTTAGTATTTATGTAAAGTAAGTTCTGGTTTGAATGTGTGAGCAGACTTTAGTTGGAACATGAGGATACAGAGCTAGAAAAATGACATTTTTTGTCCATTTCAGTGAATATTGAGCCTTTTGGATGTGTTCTTCCTGTGTTCCTTGAAGCTGATTTTTAATGTTAATGTATGTTAGTGCATGTTTGGCAAAGATGTGTGAAGCACTTTACGAATAAAAAGCTGCTATTTTGATCGACACTGTCTCTTACCTATAGATGCCCTAGCAAGAAAAACATTGCAGATAATTTTGTGTAAAAATGATTGATTTTAAAGATATCGTGACAATGTCGTTATCGTGAGTTGGGAAAAAGATATCAAGGGTTAGGTATTAGATATTTATTTTTGTCCATATCGTCCACCCCTACTCTGAGAATGAAAAAGAAAGATCGCTCTCTAACTAAAGCTGGAGGGAATCAATGAAGAAATGACTCTGGGCAGATAGCACTAGAATGATGATTAAACCAGAGAAAAGTCTAAAAGCGTGATATGGCACCTTTAAGTGTTGAAATGCCGGAATCTAACGTCCACCTCAGGCTTAATAACAGCGGGAACAGAACATATCAAGTGGTCTCTGTAATCACCCCACAGCTGGAATCTGCTCCTCTCTTTGTATTGGCCGGTGTTCAGCTCCAACCTTTATCACGTCTAACAGGCTCCGACTGCGCCTCCTCTGCACCTCCTCTGTGCCTCCTCTGTGCCTCCTCTGCACCTCCTCTGCACCTCCTCTGCGCCTCCTCTGCACCTCCTCTGCACCTCCTCTGCGCCTCCTCTGTGCCTCCTCTGCACCTCCTCTGCGCCTCCTCTGCACCTCCTCTGTGCCTCCTCTGTGCCTCCTCTGCACCTCCTCTGCACCTCCTCTGCACCTCCTCTGCGCCTCCTCTGTGCCTCCTCTGCACCTCCTCTGCGCCTCCTCTGCACCTCCTCTGCCAACCGCCAACTCCGCTCACACACTGTGGACTCACGGACACGAGGAGGAGAAACAGAGCGTCGTGCAGAGAACATGGGAGTGATGTGGGTTGTGTTTGAAAGAAGTAGTCAGTCCAAAGTTTATTAAAATGTCCACTTGCAAAGCAGTAAAATGATCAGATACAGTGGAGGTGAAACTCAGACCTGGAGCTTTGGGATGTGCCAACAGTGATTCAACAAATACATTCTAATTTCCCAGGTCGGAAAATGAATGGCATATTTTGTGCTTTTGCATCTTCTTTGATTACTACTACTACTACTGCTACTGCTACTACATTACTACTACTGCTACTACATTACTACTGCTGCTACTGCTACTACTACTGCTACTATACTGAAGAAAATGACAATTGTCTGGGATTGTGTGTACTTCTACTGCTGCTACTGCTACTAGTTTAGTTTTTAGTTTTAGTTTATTAAGATCCCCAGTAGCCACTGAGATGCAGTGGCTACTGCTACTAGTATTTCTGGCTCGGGAGAAGAATTGGTTTGAGAGAGGAGTGAAAGAAGCCATTTTTGTGAGGAAACAAAAACCTTCTCTTAACAGAGGAGGAGGGTTAAGATTTGTTTTGCCTCGAATCTATGACGACATCCTAAAAACAACGCCCTAACTTGGGACAAGGTCAGTGACATGCTAATGAGTTAGGAGGGGTCAGACCTGCACTCCACTTGAGCATCCCAGCAGACAATAGGTCTGTGACATGCTAAGGAGTTAGGGTCGTTAGCCTCAGCAGGGTCGTTAGACCTACTCCCTTCTACATCAGACCTTAGATTGTTTATGAGTTAGTTTCAGGATTAGGGTGTGGCTAACCACACCCATAGGTTATAAATCTCCAACGCGCGGTCCGAGAATTCATTCCCTGAAGAAGTCCGCTAGTTTGAGGACGAAACGTCGGGAAAACTTGCTAAGAAGTACAGATGATGGGTGAGAAACCTTCCTTTGCTTTTACTGCTACTAGTAATACTGCTACTGCTACAGCTACTGCTACTGCTACCACTGCTGCTACTGCTACTAATACTACTACTACTATTACTACTACAGGGTGGCAAGGTGGCTGAGTGGATACCTACGGCTTAAACAAATACAAGTCATAATAATATCAAATAGATATATATGAAAATAATCACATTCAAGTACATGAATAGTACAGAGGATGAACGGACGGAGAAGGCAAAGATACACGAGAGCACAGTACAAATACTGCTGATAACAAATGAAACCAAGTCGGTGATAAGTTAGAGGTATAAAGTAGGATTTCACCAAATGTTAGTGAAGAACCGCCCTCTCCCCTTTTTGAACACAACTCTCTGCTCTGATTGGACGAGCACAAATCACCAGAATGATTGACAGTTGGGAGGACCAATCGTCTTAGTAGAAAATCCTCCTTCATACCTTTAAGTGTCTCGTCTCTCCATGTTCTGGCGATGCACAAACTCAATATTTCCATAATGATAATAAAAAACAAAAATACTGGGGACGATGATTGCAAATAAAACAGATACTGCGTTCGCTGATGAGATATTTGGTGGGTCACTAATCCTATTCTCAAGTGCATCTGCAATTTATTTAGCCAAATGAGCCGTGACAATCTCCGGTGTTATTGGATTACGGCTTTTATAATAAAATGTGTTGCATCTTGGACCTCATAAATAAAACTATTGGAAATCCCATTACATTTCATTCAGCGCTCGAAACGACAACAAATGATGACACATTCTGAGTGACAAAATGGCTGCTGTATTGTCACTCTTTAAATCCGTGAATTTCGATTATTCACAAAATCTAATTCTAAAAGGTTGTTAATTAATTTTCACAGATATGGAACGACTTGATGATTTCTCGGGTGCTTTACAGTTATACCAGTAAAAGGGAACATATAGAGTGGTCTTATTTAAATGTATTTAACAATTAGGAGGGTGGATTCTGTTGAGGAATTGCAATAGTTATTATTCAGAAACGGAGCTGGAGGTTTTTACCAATTATATGTGTTTTTAGAAGGAGGAGAAACAGGAGAAAACTATGCAGACACAGGGAGAGCATGAAAACTCCCCTCAGAAAGGCAACGTTCCGAACATTGGGGGCAGGTCTAGGCTCAAAAAGGTCCATGAGCACCTGCGCTGACATGCTTACAATCCCACTCCTGGCCGGTGGGGGTGTACCCGGAAAGAGAATTACCCAATGCTTTTGTGCAGCGTCTTCTTCCCTCTCGAAAACCTCTTTACAGGATGGTCGGAAAGTGGCTCTAGTTTTGCCGCTGTGGACTTTTGAATGCACTCGTTAAATGAATGGGGCTAGTGCAGCTAACACATGCGCAGATGTGTTTTTCCACATTATCCAGCCCTGCATACATTTTGAAAAAAAAGCAAAAGTGGTGGCACATTAGTTTCAACGGAGACAGGCGTGAATATGTTCGTTAATATTTTGATGCTCTGTGTACTGGGTTCAGCTCTGACTGCCACCCCCCGACCCAGAAATGGATTAAGGGGAAGAAAATGGATGGATGAATGGATATTTACAGTCTGTGGATCCAGCCCTCGATTACAGAATGTGCTGGACATGGTTGGAGAAGCTGCCGCAGGTGGAGCAGGACTTGGAGCTGCGTTTGCCCAGAGGCAGCACCTTTCCTCTGGGGAACATGCCCGCCCACCGGCCCTTGGACTCGCCCTCTGTCTGGAAGCCGTCGTTTGTGACCTGAAGAGAGTCTCTGAGAGCGTGGGACTGGGGCCCGGGCCAGCACTGGACACACTCAACACACAACACCACACAGAGAACACACATCAGACAGTACTTGGCATTTACTGTTAAAGTGCGCGTAGAAAAAAAAAAAGATTAAACATAAATAAAAGAAGGATCTGGAGCCTGACCCCAAACAAACTTCTAAAGGTAGCATAATTTTTACTTATTTTTACCATGTTAAATAAAGGCTTAAAGATTTTTTGAGTTTGTTGTCATTCAAAAAGTCCAGTCCAAAATCTTTTCTATAACCCAGTTTAGTCCTGCTCCAGTCCCAGTCCTGGTTCTGGGTTCTGGTCCAGACCTGGCAGATGTTCCCCAGGGACTCGGGACAACAGGAACCCGATGACGATGAGACACAGCAGCAGCAGATCGGCCATCACCAGACCCAGCAGAGCCATATCCCTGGGACGGTGCCCCCCACCGGCCGGGGACGGGAATGCAACGGCTGCAAATAAGAAAATACTTGTTTGTTCTGCAGGCCATATATTAGAGGACAAACTGTGTTGATGTCACCCAGACACGGCAAAAAATGCTTGGATGAAGTGGTTTTTATCTTTATTAGAGTACATACTGACTATTTTAAAACTGGATTTGCCCACGAGACAAAGCCGTTTAGTCTTTTTTCAAGAACTGTTGCTTTATTTTCTCGATCTTGTATCTTTATAAAACATGTTTGCCTGTCCCAAATGAAAATCTTTTGTTAAGTCAGTCAAAATGTGCTCAGATTAAAATACATTTTGACAAATTTGAGAAAAGTTTGACTTCACTTTTTACAGTGTAGTTAGCCGTAAAGCAGGAGGCGAGGCATGGCAAGTTTATCTGTATAGCACAATTCATACACAAGGCAACCCAAAGACCTGTTGTTCTTTGGGTTGCCTTGTGACTGCAGCAGTCTAACCCAGTGGTTCCCAAAGTGGGGGTCCCGACTCCCCGGGGGGTCGCGGGAACCCCTGGGGGGGTCGCAAGATGATTTCCACACAAACAAAAAAAAAAGATTTTTTTTTTTTTGAGCAAATATAAAGCCCTTAAATATTTATTTAGCATTTGATTTGATTCAAAAGGACTACTTGTTAAATTGTGTTTGGAGACTATAATATATTTTAATAACGTTAGTAATTTTGTCCCAGTCATTGCAGCGTCAATCAAAATCATCACGTAACACAGCTCACATCACGCAGCGACAAAGCGTGTCCTGCTGTTGTTTGCTAAAACTAAAGGTGTTTGGAGGCTACAAATAAATAATACCTGCTTTAAAATGAAACGTGGTTAATATCCACAACAGAAAAACCCGGAGGGGGAGAAAAGTCGCGGGTTAGCAGGGCATTTATGATGGGGGTCGCGGGCTAAAAACTTTGGGAACCCCTGGTCTAACCTACTGGAGTCTGAGGCCGTCTGAGGCCGATTTGATCATAAGCTGGGGCCAATTGACTTTAGGGCTTTTCTTCCATGGCGTAACAGGGGCAGACATGTTGCTCTCTTCTACTAAAAAGACAGACTTGCTCTGTGTCCCACACTCTGCTTCCTGGTTGGTTGGGCCGTTGTCAGGTGCGGCTCTTTGAAGGGCCAGGTAGAGATTTTTGCTTTATTTAAATAGATCTGTAGAACATTAATAGAAAGATGTCACTACATTTTACAGTTAAAAGTCTACAGATCTGTAACCGGGAGTGCACATCCCTTTTCAGTGAGGTTCTCAGATGAGTACCAGATGCTGTTTGGTTCTCACTCCATTTGTCGCGTGGTTCTTAATCGAGATTTTATACATGCTTTATTTTAATGCTTAAATTTAGATCAGCTCAGATAATCCACTCAATCCAAGTCAAATAATGACTCATAGGGCTCTTTTTTAAAAAGGCAAAACAAAATCAAAACACTGTTCTGTTTTATTTGTTCACAACATTTAAATTTTGGGCACAACCAACATTTTTATGCATTATTAATGCACGGGAAAATGTAGGTACCACAGCTTTAATTTAGAGACACGGGGAGGACACTCCCCTAAGGCTCCATGGTCCATCTCTGTTTCTTTTAGTAACGCAATATGTATTTATTTATTTTGCGTTACACAAAAACACACACTTGCAACAAGCAAGTGTGTGTCTTTAACCCACCAGGAAATAGAGTCATGGTTCGATCCTCGCGCACAGGCCCAGAGGAGTAGCCTGGCTCTGCCAGACCCTTGTAATTCCGCCATTCTCCACCAGAGGCGTTTGGCTGAACCACATGGGTCTGGTATCGAGCCCATAGCAAACGCCTTCCCCAGATTATTTTTTAATCGACCAATCAGGATTGCCGGTGTTACGTGGGGTTTGCACTGCCTCCTCAAGCTTCTCTCATGCAGCAGCGAGAGAAATCCAAGATGGCGGACGTAAAGTCCGCGAATCTTTATAAAAGAGTAAATAGGATCGAATTAAGACACAGATGTCACTTTTAATGCAATTTGAGGTGAGATGTTGATGGTTCTATGTTGATATATGTGTGTTTTAAGAGTCAAATGTTCCTGTAAAGTTTGGTTGAAACACTGGTTTAGTGTTCCTGTTTACACACTATGCAGCAGGGTTGCCAGGTTTGGTGGTTCCCGCATATTTTTTTGCAAGAGACTTGTAGGTATTAAATAAACAGAAAGACAATAAACAGAATCATGATAGCCCAAGTTGATTACATTACGTTTTTAGCCAAAAAAATATTCGGAGTGTTTTTTTTGTGTGGGTATTCTCGCGGATTTTGGGTTGGAAAATCTTGCTGGGATTTGGCAACCTATGGGAGCCGTGTGCTTCGATGTGAGTGGTTGAAAGCAGACTTCATTCAAGATAACGGACAAGTGGTCTGTCCAATCACATACAGTACAAGGATATTTTTTACAAGGCCCTGCCTTCTGAAATCCAACCACTATGGCTCAGTACCAGACTCATGTGTGAAGTGCAGCGAACTACATGGGTCTGGCCAGAGTCAGGCTACCAGAGGAGCGCCACAGACCGGTAAATGTGTGTGTAAATGTGTGTGTAACTGTGTGTGTAACTGTGTGTGTAAATGTATGCTTGAATCCTTTGCCAAACTACTAGAGAATGGATGATGCGTGTGGATGTTACAGATGAATGGAACGCGGGAAAAGGGTGCGCGAGTGTGGAATGGCGTTTGTGTGTGCGTGCCACGTGCGGCACGAAAGTCAGCCTTTAGTATAATACTATATTGGTGCACAAAGCTAGAGACGGACCGCTCCGTCACACTGGCATTGGACCACGCCCCCCCAGGGAGGAGCGCCTGTTTGAGAAGGACTGGTCTATGTGAAGTACGCAAAGGGGCTGACTAACTCGAGTGATAGAACGCATTTCTGATATTTGGCGTGCATGCGTACCTGTGTACCACTTATGTGCACCCCTGTCTATAGAGAGTTTTTGATTGAGTACAGAATACAGAATTTAAACTTTACACCTGGCATCTTCACGGGAAGATGTATCTTGTTTAATGCTACTGAATGAAAAAGTGTTTGGGTTGTATTCTTTTCCTCAACTATATCCTTAATATAAAAGGCCCCTCTGAGGTGATTTTCACGTCTGGCCGGAGAGATGTTGATGTGATGTGTGCAGAGAACTTGAGTTTACATCTACAAAGCTAGTTTTGTCTTTACCCAGTATGATTGCTACTTTACTCAAGCTCCAATAGAAACTTTAGAACACTAATGATCAACTCGGCGGGCCGATACCAGCCCGCCGAGTTGTTTGATCTGGCCCACAATTTTATTCCAAAATTCTGAGGATCAAAAGAATAAATCAAAAAGAATTGTGTTTGGGATGAATATGTTTCTGCTTTTATCTATCTATTTATCCATCCATCCATCCATCCTTCCATCTATGGACTCGGACACTTCCTGAGGCTCCATAATCCAGCTCTGTGGATGTGCACCCCTGGTTATAAGACAAAACACACATCAATGGAAACAGCTGCACTTGATACAAAAATGAATGCATTTTATTTTCAGTATAGTCTTTGGATGACACACTAATATCACCTTTAACGCAAAACAATGTGTAATAAATATTTTGACTTTGCGTTGGAGATTTGAAGTTGGCCCATGGCATACAATTGGTATCACCAAATATAAAAAGACTTCTCCCCTGAACATTGCTTATTCAGTGAAATACATCCATTTGTTTCAAAAGATGCTTTTCATTATTTTCTATTAGACTTTTCTTGAACATGACATTGAATCACCATGGCAACAGAACATGGCAATGTCGTTCTGTTTGTCGCAGCGGAACATTCTATCACCACAGCAACCAACACCATGTCATCGTAACCACGGCTCTGAAAAGTTCATGTGTGTGCAGAAAGACAAGACAAGTGACTTAACCAAATACGAGGATCAGAGCCCAGATTGACAAAGCAAAGCAATCAATACAACACTGACAAGATGTGGTGTTTTAGAAGAAACAGGAGTAAAAAAGAGCTTTACAAAGCCATGGTGGACAACTTGGTTCTTGCGGAAGAATCAAACCAGGCTTTGTTGGCTGAGGTCAAGAAACTGAAGGAGGAGAAGAGTGACCTGGTCAAAACTCAAAAAGAGGAAACATGCAGACTGAAGGAGCAGGTGACACAGCTGCAAATGGATAAATCTGCTCTGGAGAAGGACTTTTTGGAGTCCACCGCTTTCAACCGGCACCGACTTGACACCACCCTCCAGGAGAAAACCAGCCTTGAACTCTCGCTGCAACAAACCACCGCAGAGCTGCAGACCGTACAGCAGACGCTGAGGACTTTGGAGAAGCGTGCTGAAGAGGACAGGCGAAGGAATGACTCCATCATTAAAGGTATGGACACACATCTCTCAAAAGTTGACGATGAAAACATGAACACACTAGAAGTCATAAACTTTTGTCTTCTAGATGCTGAACATTATATTAAGGAGCTGGAGACCAAAATGCAGGACCAGGAGATGCACCTGAAGAAAGGTAATTATGAGCTGGAGGCTTCTGAAAGAGATGGAGGAGTTTAGAGAGAACTTTGTCCTGAAAAACTCTGTTTTTGCAGAAATGGAGGAGGAGATAGAGGAGGAGACAGAAAAACTGAAGGAGCAGGTGACACAGCTGCAAACGGAGAAATCTGCTCTGGAGAAGGACTGTTTGGATTCCACCACTTACATCCAGAACCAACTCAAAACCACCGTCCAGGAGAAAACCAACCTTCAACTTTCTCTGCAAAAAACCACTGCAGAGTTGCAGACGACAAAGGGTGAGGTGCGGGACCTAAAAGAGGCTTGTGCCAGGTGTGAGGACAGGAACAAGGAGGTCACCAACTTCTCCAAGATCCTGAAGGAGGAGAACAAGGGCTTGTCCGAAGCAATGGAGTCCGTAAAGCAGACTCTGAAGGAGGAGAAACAAGCCTTGTCCACAGAACTGCAGTC